CGAATTCAGGGTTCTGGGTCGAGCGATCGTTTGCATAAACGGATTACATTGCAAAAAGAGGACGCCTCGCGATAGAGATGTACGGTATTCCTTAGAAAGAGGCGCGAGCACCGCAAAACGTCGAAAAACGAGCTCGATCGCCGTCGGAGACAGGTTCGAGCGAGCGTTCACGGCATGGGCGTGCACCGCTCGAACACCGGTTCACCCCGATCCCTCGATCCATCGAGAGTTTGCGAGGGCGGCGAGGGCAGCGCGCGGAACGCGCCGGAAGTGCATTATTCACGCTCGATTTTTCACAGGACGAGCGTGCAAAAAATATGCAAAAGCTCGGGACGGATGTGCCCGTCGCGGGGAACCGACGCGGACCGCCATGGGTGGTTGCTGAGACGGAGACTGCGCAACAATGGCGTCGAGCGGTGTCCCTGAGTTGTAAACCGCTTCGCGTTAAGCTTGGCGCATTCTTAGGATAGTCGGACAAGAGATTCTGTTATCGTGATGTTTGTTTTCTAGCGTGCTTTGGTATTTTTGATACTTGAAGATGTATTAAGGGATTCGGTGATCTATTTTGTATGCAGAGAATTGAAGCTTTGCTCTGGAAAGGTTTCAGTTGTTTGATATTTTCTGGTGACGATGTCTTTTGGAATTAAGTTATTAAGTTACGTGGAGATTATTGTATATGGTTTAATATTGGATATTAAAGTGTTGAAGTATTAGACATTGAAATGTTTAAGAAGTGGGATTTTGAAGTATTAGATATTAGAACATTTAGGAAATGGAACATTGAAGTATTAGATATTGGAACATTTAGGAAATGGAACATTGAAGTATTAGACATTGAAACATTTAGAAAGTGAAACATTGAAATATTAGACATTGAAGCATTTAAAAAATGGAACATTAAAATATTAAGGCATTGGAACATTGAAACATTAAGACATTGAAACATTTAAAAAATGGAACATTAAAATATTAAGGCATTGAAACATTGAAACATTAAGACATTAAGACATTAAGACATTAAGATATTGATATATTAAAACGTTAAGTCATTAAAATATTCAAACATTCAAACATTCAAACAATAAACATTAAAACATTCAAACATTAGAACATTAAGAGAATAAACAGTCAAACATTAAAACATTCAAACATTCAACCATTAGAACATCAAGACAATAACAATAAAGACTGTCACCATCAAACATTAAACTCCACAACGTCGCAACATCGAGCCAAGCAAGCCCAAGAGCCAGCTCCCAAGCGAACGTTCGAAAGCGAAGGCGAAATATCAAAGAAACCACTAACCGGATCGCTCGAGCAGCAAGAAATCGGTAAACACAGGTTGCCGGAACGCTCGCATCCTGTTTTCGAGTTACTCCGGATTCGAGGATTCCTCGAGGGACAGGCGATAGTACGCCACTGTGGCAGCAAATTTATGACCACGATCTCTCGGCCGGGCTATTCGTCAGGGACGATCGCGAATCTCAATCCCGGCGTGCACCGTCTTGACAGAGTGCGCCGCGGGAGGATGGAGACGGGCCGCGAGCGCGCAGCCCCGCGGTTCGTGTTACAAAGATCCGGCGAAGATCTTTGCACGCTTTGTCAGCGGGCAAAAACCCACGGAGACCCGAGCTACTCTTCGCGGCAATTTGTCCCGGCTGTTTCTTTATTGTTCCACCGGGCTCGGCCGTATCCTTTCGCAGGATAATCGATTCGTTCCTCCAGGATTCAACGATTCCGAGCGGACTCATAGTCCGAGCGATCCCATTAGAGTTTCATCGGATCACGTTCGACGGAATACTGACTTCGATGAGGCATTAGTCTCCTTTGTTCTCCTTTTGTCGAGCTCCGCTTGAACTTACAGTGAATCACCCGTCGCGGGAACCTCCTCGGGTTGAAACACGCGAGCAACCTTGTTGCTCCGTTGCACGATGCAATGATTACTCGACGAACGTAAAATTCGAGTTTAGTAACTCTGTGAAGAGTAATATCTCTGCACTCGAGAGACACAGTCGTGGTTTGATACAGGAAGGTTAGAAAGTTTGATGTTCAATATTAACCCTTTGCACTCGAGAGGCGACCACTTGATTTGATTTGAAAAATTATAAAGTGGTGACTGAGAGTCGCCTCTCGAGTGCAAAGGGTTAATATTGAACATCAAACTTTGTAATCTTTCTGTATCGAATTAATGAATGAGGAAACATACATTAAGGAAAGTTATTTTATTTCAATATTCCACATATGGATGCATCGTACAAAGCTTAATATTCTATATAAGACTTTATAATTTTGCAAATCAAATCAAGTGGTGACTGAGAGTCTCGAGTGCAAAGGGTTAATATTGAACATCAAACTTTGTAGTCTTTCTGTATCGAATGAATGAATGAGGAAACATACATTAAGAAGGAAAGTTATTTTATTTCAATATTCCACATATCGATGCATCGAACAAAGCTTAATATTCTATATAACTTAGTTTCTATTTTAGTTTCCATTTTAGTAGCCCTACAAAAGAAACGCCGTCGAAGCATCGAGCATCGTCGTGAACGCGTTATCGAACGTTCGATCCTCGGCCGGCGTCCCAGTATCTACGCGGAAATCGCGCAGACGGCCAGGACCCGGACGGAATCGGCGCGATCGGCCGCGCATCGCTTCGCTTTTAATTGAGTTCAATTAACCTTAGCCGGCCGGCTGCTCTAAAGTGGCCGGTTACACGCTCCGCTCCGCGGAAGGGGGTTGCCGCACGTACCAACTCCTCCAATCGACACTAATTACCCTCGGTTGCTATTTTTACAGCACCGATTTTCTAGGCTCGCCGGTCGGACGCGTATTAACGTGGCTTCTTGTTTAGATAACGATCGCCACGCGAATTTCTCGGCGATGATAACGATGGCGTCAAAGTTTCATGCGACGAGAGGAATGAGAAGCAACCGCTCGGAGATCGAGCTTCAAAGGAATACTGCAGTTTCGCTGTTAGAATCGGTTGATAATAATTCTAATTAGCTGCTGATTTCGCTATCGATTTTGTAGATTTAGATGGATGGGAATTAATGTTCTTATTTAGATAGCGATTGTCCTGTGATCTTTTCTCGAGAACGAGAATTAACGGAATAATTAATCCTAGATGACCAAACATTCCTCTAAACGGAACGCGAACTATTTCTGTGAATTCGGACGCTGATATCCACCGAGTCTGCCGACGTTAATTTCGCACGCTTTCGTTCCTCCTAATTAAAATCCACCAATACATCTAACCAGCTACTCTCTTCAAAATAAATTCTCCAAACCATAGTCTACGACTCGAATATTTAGCTACATACTAACTCAAGCTCAGTGATCTATATTCAAAAGAACACTAGTCTCACAATCAGAACCATCCCAATACCAATTCCAATTCCGATCACTCCTTCCACAGATTTCCAAACTCAGCGCGCGTTAACGTAACTCTTACCCAAGCATCCAGCTTACCTTTCAACGTCGAAGTTTCACACGCTCGGAACGAGACGGAAGCGTCCGCGGTGAAAACTCGCAGGAAAAAGTGACGGAGACGAACGTCGCGGACTCATAATTAGAATTTCCTTTCTGAAAAGAGGTTTCCCCGCGTCGCGCGACGCGGGGAACCGGCGCGAGCGAGATACATAATGCATGCTGTAAACGATTTGAAAGCGGGTACGTGGCGAGCGCGGCATTTAGTTAGCACTAATTGCTGGAACCCGGGACGGACGCGCCCGGAATCCGCTAATTCGCTGATAACCGTCGCATTTCAATTCGGAGGCGCGTCGTTCCCGATCCGGGGGAATCGGGGATAGCCGATACGCGGATAGAAAGCTCGTAAATCACGCCGGAAACGCAGCCGGCCCGCGCGGCATACAGATCGGCGGGCTCGTTTGGGGGCGCACCTGGCCGAGCGAACGAGATCGCCTCGATTTTAATTGCTCCGGCGAGGATCGCGGACCGATAAGCGGCTACCGGCGGCCGTAATTGATCGCGTTAAGTAGGCCGTGGCCTAGGATCGCGGGGACAATGGGCCTGGCGGAACGAAACGCGGCGATCCCGGCCGCCAAGGGCATCGATAAGCTCCCCGATGGGATTCCGCGCGTAGGCGCGGTGATCGCGACGCTCCTTGGCCGTTCGATCGTGATCGGTGATCGGCAATTGCGCATAATTAACACAGGCCGACCCTTGTGCGCCCAGCGAAAGGTCCGACGAAAGAAACGCCGGGACGACAAGAAGTGGCAACCGGATGAAGACTTCTTGCCGGCTGAAGCGAATGTGGACCGAGGCGAGTCGAATCGCGGGATGAATCGAATCGAAAGAGGAATCGCGCACATTTGTCATCTCGATAATTAGTCTCGGGTTTCGGGAGCATTCGTGAATTTTTATGTTTTGTTTCTTTCGATGGAAGATTGCTGGTTTTCTGTTAGAGGATTGGGTGTTGTAGGTAGTAATTGATGGTATATGTTACTAATAATAGTAATAGTATGTGTTATTAACTCTGCAGTCGAGAGGTGACTCTGTCATTTGATTTGATATAACAAAGTTATGAAGTATTGTATATTGTTGCGCTGGGTCCTGGGGTGCCGCGACATATTTATTTACAATGTTCTTTATACACTTATGTTTACAATTTCATACGAATATTACAGAATGTAGTCTATAGTTCGACACGTCTTTTCTTCGTTTACTCTAACCAACTCCTTAGCGACCAGTTTATTCCAACCCCCTTCAGATCCTAAGGGTTGGTTCAGCCGTGCGTACCGGAGGGACGAGTTCGATACGTCGCAACCTCGTTAGTTCGATGTATCGCAACAGTATAATATTAAGTTTCGTCTAATGCATCGTGAAATATTACGAGTATTACTGAACTCCCAATGTTAAACAGCAAATTATTTTCACTGATATTTATACAGTCCACTTCCGTACGGGTTTCCCTGTAACATTTCGGAATGGAAAACGCGTACACAACAAACCGTCTACAGTTTTTCGCTCCTCTTTCGCAGATGATGAACGTGGGCGGCGGCAGCACGGTGGAAAAGCTGTCCTTCTACAACCACACGGAATGCGAGTGCAGAGAGAGGTCCGAGTACGAGACCGGCAACGAGAAACCCTTCGAGCAGAGAGTGTACAGGCACTATCAGCCGTCCCAGCAGCCTCAGAACATGAGAGTGGCACAACCGAGAAAGCCGTGAGTCCCTCTTTCCCTTCCGCTGCGCCTGTAAATCGAATCGGATCGCCGATTCTTCGGACACGAGGATTTCGCCGATCGCGTTCTCGCGTGTGGATCGGATTTCGTATGTAAATCGCCTGTGCTGACCTGGAATGTCTTGTCTGAAAATGATTCGTCTGCAATTTTCGTGTTTTATGCTTCTGTAGTATCGCGTACGGGGCGGATAGATTTTCGAGATCGAGTGTGGGAGGTTTTAGATTTAGAGTGTGAACACGGGAATGATGGGTTTTTGTTGTGGGATGAGAGATGAGCAGTTTTCGGTTCTGGTCCATGGGAAATTGGAGTTTTCGGTTCTGGTCTGCGGGAAATAATAAGGTGTCGATTCTAGCATTTCGGGGACTATTAGACTTTTGATTCTAGGTTGGAAGAAATAACAAGTTGTTGATTATAACTCTCGGGAATTGACGAACTTTCGATTCTAGGATATAAGAACTACTGAGTTGTAGATTGTAGATCTCGAGAACTAACAAACTTTCGATTCTAGACCACAAGAAATAACAAGTTGTCGATTCTAGTCCACAAGAAGTAACAAGTTGTCGATTCTAGTCCCCAAGAAATAACAAACTTTCGATTCTAGACCACAAGAAATAACAAACTTTCGATTCTAGCCCGCAAGAACTGACAAACATTCGATTCTAGCCCACAAGAACTAATAAGTCATCGATTCTAGACCTCGAGAATTGACAAATTTTCGATTCTAGCCCACAAGAACTAATAAGTCATCGATTCTAGCCCACAAGAACTAACGAGTCATCGATTCTAGACCTCGAGAATTGACAAACTTTCGATTCTAACCCACAAAAACTACCGAGTCATCAATTGTAGTCCTCGAGAACTAACAAACTTTCAATTCTACTCCACCAGAAATAACAAGTTGTCGATTCTAGGCCTCGAGAATTGACAAACTTTCGATTCTAGCCCACCAGAACTACCGAGTCATCGATTCTAACCCTCGAGAACTAACAAACTTTCGATTCTAGCCCACAAGAACTAATAACTCATCGATTCTAGCCCTTAAAAACTAACAAACTTTCGATTCCAGCCCACAACAACTAACCACTTCCCAATTCTACCCCACAAGAAACACATATTCTACTCTATCCCACTATAAATACCAAATCTCCCATCACATCCCTCAAAAACTATCACGTTTCCGATTCCAACCTAACCCAGACAGCTTCCACATTTATTCTATTTATTTCTCAAAAAGCAAATCCTCCGTTGCGCCCATCCTTGCACAATCGAGCCGGCCCAATGTCCCGCCACGTGAATTCAGGTCCGACCGAGAACATCGAGCGGTCCGTGTCCACTTCCCTCCACCCTGTCTCGTTTCGTAGGCGAACGATCGGCTCGGTCTTGGCCGGACAACGAATAATTTGTATCCCGGTGGTTGTCCAGGTGCCGTTGCCCCTCGGAGTTCATGCCCAGGATCACGCACGAGGGCGAGTGCCAGTGCAACTGCTACGAGAATCATCAAAACTGCATCAAGATCAGGCGGGGGAAAGGATACTTCTCGCTCGCGGATCGATTGTAAGTGACACAATCTCCATCGCCGATCTCTCAACGCCGCGCTTGAACATTCTATACGGCTCGTTTCATTCCGATTTGCATTTCGTTCGACACTCCTATCATTTCCAAGACCTTTTTCATCGCCGGGAGTTCCTAATGGATTCGTCACACACGATAAATTAAACTGGAAGTGCCCGGACAGTCGAATAGACCGGTTCGCGATTTATTAAGATTTCGACTGGTGCACACTTTGAAACTGTGGCGCAGTTTGTGTACGGATAGTGTACGTTACGAAGTGAAAACAAAGAAATAATATTAATGTGTGTAATTTGAACTCTGTAGGGTACAGTATTGCACTAGTTAGAATATTAAGTGTTTTAATGAATCTTGAAGGAAGTATCCTAGAATTATTAGATTTTCCACGCATACAAATTTTGCACTGAGGAGTTATTGCATTTCTCATTTTTGATAGGAATAATATAAATATTAGTTGCTGTTGCTGATAGATTATAAAGCAAGGAGTGATAAGGGATAAAAATCAGAAACTTGAGAGTAACTTATTGTTTCTTTGAGAAAATCGATACAGTTCATAAGGAAAATGATAGATTATCAGCAATATTTATTTATTGTTATATTGAAAAGAATGTTGCGAAGATGAAGTTATATTCCAGACAAATGAGTGCAAATTACTAGGTCAGAATGCGTTGTGTGTCATCCAAGTACAATGAAACATGGAATATTGAATATTCTGCATTTATATCGATGAAACGAAAGAAACTTTTGAAGTTGAAGTTTCCGTGGCACGGAACGTATTAAAAATAATCGAATGACATGCTATATCAACAAGAAACCACATAAATCCCCAATATTTCGAATCAAAACTGCAAAACCTATAAGAAATTCACCCTAAAACAAGAAACGTGCGATTCTCAACTGCAAAATAACATTACAATATCAACAATAAACCCAATAAATCCCCAAAATTTCGAATCGAAACTGCAAAACCTATAACAAACCCACCCTAAGTATCCTCACCTTCCGCGGATGCATCCAAAACGAGGAATGCGCGCTGCCCAGCTACAAAATATCATTACTATGTCAACAATAAACCAAATAAATCCTCAAAATGTCGAATCAGAAGTGCAAAGCCTATAACAAACTCACCCAAACACCCTCGCCTTCCGCAGATGCATCCAAAACGAGGAGTGCGCGATGCCCAGCTGCGAGTTCGGCGAGTACATGAGACGACAGGGAAAGTGTCCCCGTAAGAAGGACAAATTCGACGCGATCGTGAGCCACCGGACGAGCCT